TGCTTCCTTTTTTTGGAATGCAGGGAGAAAAGGGGAGGTGTCCTGAGGTCATGCCCATGTCACGAGTGTAGGTCTGCCATCCTTCTCGCTGGACATGGAGCTATAAAATTGTCTCTTTTGTTGACGAGATTATCAATTTATGTGTCAAATGGTCATGTGTATCACGCATCTGGTCCCTGAAAGCCCGTAAAACAAAGATAGATTGTATCCTAGTTTGAGTTAGGGTCTTAGCACTGTTTTTATTTGAGATTACTCTAGCTGTCAGAGGTTCAACGAGGCGTAATCTCAATTAGGTTTGTTGAGTTTTCAGGTTCGGGTTCAGGTTCTTGGTCAGTTTTATCACGTCGGAACATGCGCGGGACGCCAGACGTGCACTTGTTGAAAGACTCTTGGACGGCATTCACTCGCTTGTGGAGGAGGAAGGCAAGAGTCAGAGTCACAACATATCCTGCAATAGTAGAAACACAAAGCGCTGTGTCAGCAGCAGACCAAGACCGAATGATTGGCGCGCCAGCGGGCGAAAGGCGAGTGATAGTTTCTACAGCTGTATCAACAGGAGCCAAATCAATAAGTTGCGTTCCTTCCTCCTTGATTCTTTCTTCCAATTCTGGATAGAGGACGAAGGAATGCTGTTTGAAGAAGGGTGAGATTTCGAGTTCGGCCCGATACTCGTCGTCGGTAAGGTGGTACAATGCTAAATCGTCAATATGGAGGATCGAACCCTTAGGGACATTGAGCCATCGGTTTCCGACGATCTCGGCTTGTGTTGCCTCAATTTGTTTGGCGACGGCTTTTCTCAACGTTTTAGGAAAAAAAAAACGTTTTTCTCCTTTGGCGAAAGGAGTCAATCCTAGTTTCGGGACCTGGATTTAAAGTTGAGTTAAGGGAGTTCCCTGATGAGGGGACTAGAGGGGAAAGGAAATTATAGTGAGAGAGGGAAACGAAAAACACAAAGAGAGACACAAAGGGAAAAAACAAAAACAAAGAGGCACAAGGACACCGAATGAGGTGAGACATACGAACGAGTATGTCACATGTGTGGAGTACCTCCTCTCTACTAGAGGTTGGTCCTAGCAGTGCGGCGGAGGAGAGTGTGTAAGTCCGGGGAGATGAATAGCAGAGTTGCATTTGGAAGTGGAACACGCACTATACAAATCAAGCTCTGAAGGCCCTTCTACAGAAAGTAAACGAGGGACACGCTTGGTGTCATTAATTTTTAAGTCAAATCTTGGCTTCATTCTCCACCACATGTAATGTCTGATTACTTTTCTTAGGGAATTAATTATTATTAATTAATTCAGGTTTGAAAGGACTCGAATCCGAAGATTCGAAGTTAACCTGATTAGAACTGATTTCAAATTTGATAATTTACACTTTATTAACGGTCGTCCAGCAAGATGTTAACCTCAGTATATTTTAACAATTTGTATATTTGTATTTTCCCTGGCCACGGGTTAATACGTTCTTTGATAAGTTATAAGCTACGAGCTAGGTAACAAGATCTAGGCAGAGTTTTAACTTTAAAATGTCACGACACAAGACAATGATTCTTTATAAATGAAACAAGAATTTATTGGCTATTCTAGATTACATTGACCTAAGCTAAGACATACACATACACACACACACACACACACACACACACATCCAGTTCTGAAGAATGAAAGTTTATATATTTTTGTATGAAGTTGCCAAAGTTCTAACTCGTTTTCACGAGTGGTTTTAAATTCAACCTGAGAGAATCACAAAGCAGAGGTTTGTCTTATGTTTACTGCTTAAATGGTTCAGCACCTATTTCAGCGGATAGAAGACCTTGTTTGTACTTGCGTTTGTGCTGGCAGCTGCAACAGGGTTTCCTTGTAGCCGGAGGGAATTCTAGAGCTTCTGATTGGTTGCTGAGATGACGTTTGGCTGACGTCGTTTCTGGGAATGTCCTCGGCGATGATTGGTTGGTTGCCGCGTTGCGGAGGAGCCTCGAAGTTCTTCTGAGAGAGTCTGCTTTAGCAAGATTTTGCGTTCTGCAGAGTTCCGAAGCTTCAACGGAGTAGTTGAGTTATAGATGGTCGATCGCCTGATGGTTCAGCTTGTGAGCACAAGTTAGAGTGGCGAAGAGCCTGCGTTCGGGAGAGCAAGCGGCGAAAAGCTTTCACTCGAGAGAGCAAGAAGCATTGAATCTGTGTTGCCGTGGGGTTTTGACCTGCGGCACAAGTCCGTCCCATGGCGTGCTCTTCCAATCGTTCAAGATTAAACTTCACATATTACACACATTAATAATAACTTTATCTACTGTCTTTTTCCATGTTGTCCATCCTTGTTTCTTCTTCACTGTCCATTTCTTTGTTTTGATCATCCATTCCTTGTCCATCTCTCTCCACGTTATCCAGAAGATTTTTAAAACTGTCCGATATTTAAATTTCTGTCCATTGGGTGTCCTGTTCTGTTGTCCGTTCCTTATCCTCATCATTCACTTTTTCTCCTCCTTCCTCTCGGTTGCTCGTTCCTCCTTCTGTTTCTTTTTGTTGTAATCCTTCTTCCTCTTGTCCTTCATCAGTTTCTCTTTTCTCCTCGCTGTTTCCTTCATGCACCTGTCCATCCAACCGATGTTCCATACCTCCTTCCTCTCCCTCCATCCAACTTTCACATTTATTTAAAACTTCTTGACACCCCGGGCACCTGACAGCCTTGCAATCTCTTGCAAAGTGTCCCCTCTCCTCACACTTGTAGCACTTAAAATCTGGGCAGTCTTTTAGCAGGTGTCCCGGGCTCATGCACAGCCTACAAGTCTTCACCTGATGGCTGTGCATCACCCTAAAATACTGCGGCCCTTCCGCTGTTTCCAGCTTCGTGCTATATGGCAACGATGCCACTTCTTTGGGGAATCTCACTTTTAGGAACCTTGTTCCATCCTCAATGTCAGTGCCCGGGTAGCATCTTCTTTTAATCTTTGAAATGGGATTAACTCCCCATCCTTCCAATTTCCCTAAAATTTCATTGTCATCAAGATAGACGGGCAGGTGCATGAAGGAAACAACATAGTCTCTATTTTGTACATTTTTAACCTCACAGTTCACTCCTTTTATTATCAGTTCATCAGTCAGTTTGTCACGTTTCTTCTTTTTCCATTGTCAGTTCGTATCCCTTTCCTTGTCTTGGCCTTAGTGCCAAGATTTGCCCATGTCCACATTGTTTTGATACAGCCTTGATGATATCCTCCGCTCTCACCTCGATCACATTCTCTACGTTCACAATCACTGTATCCTCCTTTAGATATTTTCTTTCAAGAAAGTTCTCCCTCGTGCCTTGTTCTTTCCATTTCCAGCTCGTAGTCGATTTCCCAGTCCAGTGTCATTTGCCGAACGTGTCTCTCCACCTAGTCCAGTGTCATTTTCCATTCGTGTCTCTCCAGCCGGTCCTGTGTCGTTAACCATTAATCCGTCTCCAAAACAGCTCACAAACTAACACAAACAGAAAAACAAAATGGAAGAGAGCCTTCCTCTCCCAACTGCAGCCAACCATTCCTGTAGCTCTCTAGCGCCCTCAGGGTGGTATGGCCTTAAGCAAGGACTGCCACAAAGAGTGGGCTATTTAAAGATCAGCCACCCTATAGGCCAGTGTATTAGATAAGTAGTGAAGAAAACAAAGAGTGGGCTATTTAAAGATCAGCCACTCTATAGGCCAGTGTATTAGATATGTAGTGATGAAAACATTAAATCTTACAGCACCTGGTATTCCCATGCTGTCTCCCACCCAAGTACTAACCAGGCCCGACCCTGCTTAGCTTCTGAGATCAGACGAGCTCAGGCGCAGACAGGGTGGTATGGCCGTAAGCAAGTACTGCCACAAAGAGTGGGCTATTTAAAGAACAGCCACCCTATAGGCCAGTGTATTAGATAAGTAGTGAAGAAAATGCTAAAGCTTACAGCACTTGGTATTCCCATGCTGTCTCCCATCCAAGTACTAACCAGGCCCGACCCTTCGTAAGCAAGGACTGCCACAAAGAGTGGGCAATTTAAAGATCAGCTACTGTATAGGCCAGTGTATTAGATAAGTAGTGAAGAAAACGTTAAAGCTTAGAGCACCTGGTATTCCCAGTCGGTCTCCCATCCAAGTACTAACCAGCCCCGACCCTCCCTTTTGAGCTGATTTACTACACAACCTTGGAAAAAGTCACCCTTGTTTCCACCCAGTTTCGAACTGGGGACCTTTCGCATGTGAGGCAAACGTGAAAACCATTACACTACGGAAACCTGTCAGGAGAGAGCAGCAAGAATTCTCCTGGAACGTCGCAAAGAGTTTATGCATTCCCTCAAAAATAAAACTCTGTTTCTGCTCAGCTTCGAACCGAGGACCTTTTGCGTGTTAGGCTAACGTGACGAACACTATATTACAAAAAGTTTTACCTTCTTGCTGTTTCGGGTAAAATCGATACTGTAATCTGCCCTGAAAACAGATTGACAATCTGAGTAAATCCCACACACAGTAGGACAGAGTTCATTCGGCGTGGCAGTCTGCTCAGAGTTCCTTAAAAACTTGCCTTCTCCTATCTCGAAATTAAGGTCTTTGCAGCTTGGACCACCTGCTTACCAGAGAGCCATTTCAGCACAGATAGAACAAAAGCCTCCATCTGTTTCTGCCCAGTTTCAAGCTGGGGACCTTTCGCATGTAAGGCAAACATGATAACCGCTACACTACGGAAACCTGCAGCCAAGACTGTGTCTGACCTTTCCATCACACGCTTCTTGGAGCGCAAATCAAACTACAGATTGCGTTGTGCTCTTTAATCTGCAAATACCTTCTATTTTTAGCGGCAAACCAAGCATTTTTTTAGTGCTCTGTGGTAATCTTCAAACCTGTCAGGAGAGAGCAGCAAGAATTCTCCTGGAACGTCGCAAAGAGTTTATGCATTCCCTCAAAAATAAAACTCTGTTTCGAACCGAGGACCTTTCACGTGTTAGGCGAACGTGATGACCACTACACTACAGAAACCTGTCAGATAACCTTTTTTGCTTGAACACCTCTAGGCAGGTGAAGCCTTTTGTAGCATTGAGTGAGAATGCAACAGAACCCGACTTAAGCAACCTTGGAAAAGGTCACCCTTGTTTCCGCCCAGTTTCGAACTGGGGACCTTTCGCGTGTGACGCGAAAGTGATAACCACTACACTACGGAAACCTATCAGGACACAGCAGCAAGAATTCTCCTGGAACGTCGCAAAGAGTTTAAGCATTCCCTCAAAAATAAAACTCTGTTTCTGCTCTGCTTCGGAACCAGGACCTTTTGCGTGTTAGGCTAACATGATTACCACTATACTAGAGAAACTCAAAAAGTTTATGTAACACGCACTGAGTAGCGCTTGGTTCACAATTACTAAGTTACTATGTCACCACAACTTTGGTACAGCAGTAACTACGTGGGATTGCTTGGACCAGAAATCAGAAGACAAGTGTCAACTCACTAGAGCAAAAGGTAAGCAAAAAGTGTAAGAGTATTACCTATTTCAAGGGTCAGTCAATTAATAACACAGTTCAAAGAATAGTCAGTTGCTGGAAAAATAGTTTATTGTTTTGATTGATTATCCTTTCACTTGGATTACTGCCCTTTTGAAATTGCAATTAGATAAAAAATAACAAAACACAATTACAACAACAAATAAATTGAATAGTTAAACCCCAAAGTAACAAAAGGATATCAAAATTTAAAGAAAAGAAAAATAAACAAAGTTCAGATTCAGTTTCCAAATTACAAATAAGTTTCTGGAATTAAATTTCAAATACTCAAAATCAGTGTCTCAGTTTCAAAATGAGATTTTTAGATTCAAGGTCAAATTCAAGTTTTGAATTCAAAGTCTCAATGTCGAGTTAAATTTCAGATGCAAAGTCAAAAGTCTCAATGTCCAGTTCAGTTTAAAAAATAAAAATAAAAAAAATATAGCAATGTTCATCAAAAGTGGAAAAATTCAGTCCACGAAGAAAGGAAAAAACAATTGTTTGATCCAGGGAATATCCAGGCAGCAAAACTTGGAAAAACTCTAAACAAATATAGTTTGGTCCTACCAGATCGACAAATTTCACTCTTTTTCTCCGTTTCCAGGCACGAAATGATGGGATGGCTCGCCAGTCCAAACCGGAATACGAGTATTCAGCAAGGACAGGATTCAGGATCACAATAAAATAAAAAATAAAAAACCGGCCTTGCAAAAACAAAGCCAAAAACTATCATCAGTAACTTGTTCGAATAAACCATTTCAAATGACTAAATGACCATTTTTTCCTGCTTCAATTATTTGCATTGCAACACATACATGTTAATCGCCATGTGCTCAATTACAAAACGGAACAGGATTCAGGATCACAATTCTCAACAAAGACAAAAAAATATTAAAAAAAAAAAACCCGGCCTTGCAAAAACAAAGCTAAAAACAATGATCAGTAACTTGTTCGAATAAAACATTTCAAATGACTAGAGCGTCTGCTTCAATTATTTGCATATACGCAACACATACATGCTAATCAATTACAACACTATTACATATGCACAGTGTTAGCAAAGCTAGCACCACATGAAACACATTTCACTTTGAGAAATTATCACATCTTCACAAATAAAACACCCTTCAACAACTTGAACATAATTATATACACTAACAGATCGTATTGAAGCAAAAATGAAGCATTTTCAACACATTTTTACATTACTAACTCACATTCCTGGTTAACTTTACAATATCCAATAACAGTATTCACATTTAGTTTAATTAAATACATTTCTTATAACGAAATTTGTACTCACCACTCACCAAGGTATCAGAAAAAAATAAATAAATTAATTAAATATTCCTCAGAAGAAATACTGATTAGGCTCTAGGCTCTCAGCTTCTTGTTGCGTCTCTTTCAGTGCTGTGCAGCATGAGCTTTTAAGAGTTAATATCTCACTAATCTGGGTCTTAACTTGTTAATAATCTATTGCTGGATTATTAAACTGTATTTTCATTGAATTCGCGCTACTGAGTCTTCTCTCTTTCAAATTCGCTCTCGTTCTGTCTGCTCGTGCGCTACTACCCACAAGGGGCGGAGCTAACCTTTCACCTCCCCAATTAAGAATCATTCAGGAACTTGTAAAAAACTTTTTTACTTGTAGAGTGATCTTTCTGCATATTTATCTTTCCTTTCTAAATATTATAGCAATAATAATTAGATAAA